CCCACCTTCATTATGTCCCATTGTTGATATTCAGCTTTAATCTGCAGTGGCCAGATAGGATGCAGGGTATTATTTAAATTTACTTGACATCTGTTGAGATTTGCTTTGTTTCCAAGTATGTTGTCAATTCTGGAGAACATTTGTGCTAAGAAGAAGATACAATCATTTGTGTTTGGGAGAAATGTTCTGTAGATATTTGCTAGGTCCATTTGGTTTATGACATCAGTTAGCTTCAATATATATATATATTCCAAGCAAATGTACCCAAACATTTTTACCTGGATGTGATGTCTATTCTTCATGTTAAGGTGTGTCTCTTGGATACATCAGAAAGATGGATCCTATTCATTGTGTTGTTGAGAGCTATCAATGAGACTGTATGACCCCTGTTATTATTATTTTTTTGTACTCTCTCTCTCTGTGTGTGTGTATTTCCCTTCTTTTAATTTGCTAGTCTGGAAGTGTTTATTTATTGTCTTTCTTGAGTGTTGATAACCTCTTTAGGCTGGAGTTTTTCTTCTAGTGCCTTTTGTAGAGCTGGGTTTGTAGATAGATATTGCTAAATTTTAGTTTATTATGGAATATCTTATTTTTTTCCATCATTGTGATTGAAAATTATGCTGGGTGTAATAGTCTGGGATGGCATCTGTGGTCTATTAGAGTATACAGAACATCTGCCCAGGCCCTGCTGGCTTTGAAGTCTTCATTGAGAAGTGAGGTATTATTCTAATAAATTTGCTTTTATATGTTACTTGATCTTTTTTCCTTGCACTCTTTACTATTCTTTCCTTGTTCTGTCTGTTTATTATTCGCCAAGAGGAATTTCTTCTCTGGTCCAGTCTGCCTGGTGTTCTGCATGCTTTGTGTGCCTTGATGGACACCCTCTTCTTTAGGTTGGAGACATTTTCTTCTATCATTTTGTTAATAATATTTTCTGTGCCTTTGACCCAGTTTCTTCTTCTAATTATTCTTAGATTTGATCTTTTCATACTGTCCCAGATTTCCTGGATGTTTTGTGCCAGGAGTTTAAAATTTTCACATTTTCTTTGACTAAGATATCCATGTCTTCTAATGTGTCTTTACTGCCTGTGTTTTGTTTTGCTTTGTTTTCATCTCTTATATTTTGTTTGTGAGGTTGCCTCCAAGGTTCCTGTTCAAATTGCTAATTTTTTTTATGCCCAGATTTCCCTCAATTTGGATTGTTTTTATTGATTCTACTTTCACTTTCAGGTCTTGAAGTGTTTTCTTCATTTCCTTTCTTCCCATTGTGCTTTTATAGACTTCTTTAAGGGATTTATTCATTTTCTAAATGGACCTCTAACATATTGATAAAGGCTATGGTTAAGATATTTTTATGTGTTTTAGCTACGTTATTATATTCAGGGCTTCCGGTGGTAGGGTTGTTGGGTTCTAGAGGGGACATATTGTATTGTTTGTTATTGACTGTGCTTTTACACTGGCATCTAGGCATCTAGGTTTGGGAAAATTGTAATTCTAGGTGCTGATGTCTATGTCTTTGTTGGGTGGGTGTTTTGTTCCTTGATTTCTGTTGTCCTTTTGGTTCTCAGGAGAGTGAGGTAGCAGTGTGTTGCCTGGTAGGAAATGCTTCAGGGATCCTGATAGGTATGACCACTGGGTGTTCTGGGTAAAATGTGTTCCTAGGTAGAGAAATGGGGGATGGGCTGGGATTGGGCTGAGTGGGAGGAAAGAAGGATGTCCCACCAGGATCTGCTTAGTCCCCTAGGAACCGGAGCAGAGAGTGAGGAGAGGCCACAATGGGTAGTCTGCTACAGAGCTGGGGATGAGACTAGGGGAGATCTGAAGATTGCCTACCTGCTTTGCTGTTCTTCTTGCTTCTCTGTCAGACTTGGCTGGTGAGTTCCCAGAGAAAGCCTGCTGGTGTTGGGGGCTGGGATGAGTGAGGAGAATGAGTGAGGAGAAGGGAGGCTGGAGGAGAACATATGTGTGATCTAGAGACTGGGGCTGAAGGACTGGGGAGGGGAGGCTACAGTAGGTGGTCCGCTTCAGAGATGGGGGTGAGGCTGAGGGATTAGATGTGGAGGAGCTGAGGGAGAGATGGAGAATTGCAGGTAGCTAGCATGCGTCCCTGGCTGGAGTGGCCTCAGCAATGCAATTTTTAAATGGTGCTGTTGGCTCAGAAAATAGCCTGGCAGTTTTCCCATGAGATTAAATACAGAGTTATTTTCTGTCTCAACAATTCTAGTCACCATTCTGCATCCAAGGGACACAAAAACACCCAGACAGAAAACTGTACACAAACCCTTTTAGAAATATTATTTGTAATAACTCCAAAGTGGAAATAACCTAAGGTATTAGACTGATGGATGAGAAAATTGAGGCTTATCCACACCTCTGAACTTTACTCATCAATAAAAAGGGAATGAAATATGGACACGCCACAACCTGAGTGAACACTGAAAATATTACGAAAAGAAAAAAAAAATCAGTCACAAAAGTCCGTATGTCACCTGATTCTATTTATATGAAATGTCCCTTACTCCTATACAGAGGTACTTCTAAAGATCTCAGTCTCTGGTCAAGGAAACTGGGTTGCAGAGAGAGTAGGATGGTTAAGGTTGTGACATTTTCTCCTTATTTCCCCATCCCCCCACCCAAGTAAAGATTTGGTTGGAGTTAAAATGTAAATGTTCCTCACCAGATTCTGTTTTTTTTTTTTTTTTTTGGACCTAAAACAAACCAAACAACAACAAGAAGAAGAACAAGAACCGAAGACTCAACTCTTCCGAGTTGTCTTAAAAAGCTGAGAATGCCTTTAAAAGCTCTGGCCTTATTTTCTTCATCTCAAACTCATTTTAGAGCAACTCAGAACTTGTAGCAACTGTGCAAGTCCCGGGACCCCAACACCCACTATGTGCTCGGTCCATAAATCTTCAAATCAGCGAAGTGTCAGCTCGGAGGGGTGTACAGGTGGCCTGACATCAGTGTGAATCTTCTAAAGTCACAGCACAAAACCTTCATATTTCTTTACCCACAGATAACGCATGTGAATTCACACGCTGTGCCTGTAAGTAAAGACAACTGTGAGGGTTGCTCGGTTGAAGCGTGTTGCCCACTCCTTTAAAGGGTCTATTTTTCTCTGTCTCCGCATCTATGTCTGTCTCTCTCTCACACACACTGCGGACCGATCTCTGAGCCTCGCATATCCTGGGCCAGTTCTACGTTACTGGGAATCGTCAGCGTACCCCATATCTTTTCAGAACAATCTATCAAAGTGAAGTTGTCTGTTTCCTATACCGAATGAAATACAGGCGTCACTGGCTATTTTTCTCCATATATTCTGAAATGAGAGTATCGGCATTCTTGGTTCTTTAAAGCGTTCTAAGCATGATATTGGAATAATTTGTCCAAGTGCCTCCCCATCGAGTTCATGGGAAAACGGCAGTGAAACAAGCCTTCTCGTTTCAATAATATCTTAAGGAGGTGCTTATTTTCTTATAAATTAAAAAAAAAACCCTATGATGATTTAGGATAACCAAGTATTTATTATTGTAGGAGGAGATAAGTTTTATAGCATTACTGGAATAACCGACATGCATTGAATCACACATATACACACTGCAACTTGATTTTTGTCATATGCATAGAACTGTGAAGCCATCATTACAGTGAAAGTAATGAACATATTTCATAGAAACTTATTTTTCATTTTCTCAAAGTTTTATTTGTGTGTGTGTGTGTGTGTGTGTGTGTGTGTGTGTGAGAGAGAGAGAGAGAGAGAGAGAGAGAGTTACAGGTGATCGTGAGCTGTTGTATGTGTGCTGAGAACCAAACCCGGGTGCCCTGGAATATCAGGAAAAGCTCTTTTAAGGACCGAGCCATCTCTCCAGCCTCAGGGATTAATTTTCAATACAGCGATAATGAAAAACTTGGCGACCGTGAGATCCCCAGCACATTTTCTCTGATTCATTGCTGTCTTTTGAACGTTGTTGTGCTGGTAGAACAAAAGATTATGCAGAATTAGGAATTGTTTTGCTCATTTTTTAGAAGCTTCCATAGGGTGCTGACTCTGCCTTTGAATCTACAGATAGGTGTGAATGGTAGCTGAGAACCCATTCGACCAGCACGCCACACACTCCAGCACGCTATTTGGCGCGCGCGGGGGGGGGGGGGGGTGTTGACCAACAGACAACTATACTCCTCTGTTCTGATGTTGGACTTAACCTAAGACTTAAAAGGCAGACACCATGCTACAGTTTAGGAACCGGCTAAGACAAGGCTTGTTTGAAAAGCTGGGTGTAAACAAGGGAAACGCACCTCCACCCTTCAGGATTTTCCATTGTATCAGAGAGCACAGTAAAGTGGGGAGAGGGGGGAGCAGCAGCAGCAGTTTCTAGGAATGTCCACTTGTCAAATAAAACAGAGGGCCGGAGACAGCCTGTCATCTGTATGGCTTTACGCCTGACTGTCTCCTAAGCGAGCCAGAGCAGTTTTTGTTTGTCTGTCTGTTTGTTTTTTTGTATGCCTAGCAGCACCCTGTTCGCTTTCGGTGCTATTTGGAACCGGTCTGGAAAGCTTTTCTTGTGGAGTTTCTCCTGACGGAGCCGGTTCTTGTACTCTTGTTTTGTTAATTGTTTTTGTTAGTTCGGACCGGTTCTGGAGAGTGTCAGGGGTGAAGTCTGTAACCCCCAAGCTGCAGATTCCTGTCTTCACTAGGTGACCGCTCAGACCAGTGTCCTCTCTGCAGCCGACTCTGGTCACTCTCAGAGCCCTTGTCTTGACATTCCCCAGTCTCCCTTGCTCTTCTAGAGTTCCAGAACTCCGGTCAAGCTTTAACTTCTTGCTTAGTCAAGCTGCAGCCAGAACCTGCCGGTCCTCCCCGGTATTCTTCCCCAGATGAAGGGCAGGTTGGATGTGGCACATTCCCTAATCAGAGCCTGCCATTAGCAGGCCCGTGGCTGACGTGCACGGGGGGAGGACTCGGACCAAGCAGGCCATTTTCACCTGCGTAATAACAGGCTTGGGAGTAGCAGAGCGGCGCTGGCCCAGCAAGCAGCCTCTGGAGCAGGGGAGGAGCGCAGGCGGCGGCCGCCCCGGGGCCCCCGGAGGAAGAGGAGGGGGAGGAGGAGGAGCCGAAGCGCCCAGAGCAGCAGCCGCGGCTCGGCCCGAGTTGCAGCAGAGGCAGCGACGGCGGCTAGGAGACTCTGCAGCCTCCGGGAGCCGCGAATCCTGGTGGGGACAGCAGCAGGGAGCGCCCGCGCCCCTAGCCACTGCACCCCCGGCCTTGCTAAGCCTCCATCGCCTAGCGGGGGCCACCGCCAGCCATGGCTGCACCGCCGGATCTGCAGGATGAGCCGCTGCCTCTGACTAGCCCCGGGTCCCAGCGGTTCGGGAGCCGGGGGGAGGGGGAGGACGAAGCGGCTACGCCGAAAGCGGCCAGGCCGGCGCAGCAGGATGGGGAGCCTGCCTGGGGATCCGGCGCCGGAGCTGGGGTAGTGTCGCCGCGGGAACTGTGCTCCGGCCCCGCCCGGTCGCCTCCCGTCGCCATGGAAACTGCATCCACAGGTAAGCCCGGCGGGCCCCGCGACCCCGCCAGTGGAGGCCGGGACCCTGGTTCTTGCGGATCTCCCCCCCCCCCCAAATCTACAGCTCCCCTCTGCATCTTCCTGGCCTCTCTGCTTGGGGCACCGACGCCAGCTGGGTTTCGCCTCGGGCGGCTGGAAAGGTTAGCGCACCGGTGGAAACGAGCAGGGTGCCGCCGGCGGCCAGGGGGAGGAGGCTGATGGTCTTGTCATCTCATCATCGCTCGTGCTGCAACCTTAGACGTCGTCCCGTAAGCAAACCCGGCCCCTGCTGCGCCCCGGAACAAGTTTCGCCTTCTTGTCAGGGGCCTCGGGGCAGCAGGGCAGGCGTGACAGGTTGTGATGGTTTTCTGGGGCGTGTTTGCGCCCGGCGTGCTCCGCCGGTGACCTCAGGCATAGGCAACCTAGCAACGGGCCGGGCCCACTGCCTCGGGACCCTCCCGCTGGGTGTAGGCAGCGAGCGCAGCAGGGACTTTAATCCTCCCTGTCCCCACCCTCAGGGAATCGCCACACCCTGCTCCCCTTCTCCCGCGCGGAAAACAGACCCCAAGGAGTCCTGCGCTTCGTTCCCGAGGGACCGCGCTGTAGGAGGGCTGGGAGTCGTAGCCTTCCCTTTCGATTTCCTAGCTGCTCCGTACCTGAGCCTATCAGGGAGTGTGGACGCTCGGAACCCCCAAAACGGGAAGGTCCTGGCTGTGGATTGCAGTGCTGGGGTTGTGGCTAGTGGTCCAGGCACAGTTTACCAAGCAGTCTGAATTCGCCTTTGCGTTTGGAAAAAAAAAAAAAAAAAAAAAAAAAAAGCCAGTGGCTCAGCGTCTCCTCTCCTGACGGACTCGCCCTTAGCAGCCAGAACAAATCGTTGCCCGGTGAGATCAACCCGAGGGCCGCGGCCTGTCCTGGATGTCGGAGGCGAGAGCTACACGCACTGTGGCGAGGGTTGGCTACCTGGCGATCGCTGTTTCCAGAAGAAAGCCTGTAGGGGGTGGTGCGCTGTGCTGTTACAGGAGAGGCTCCGCCGTGCTCCAGTGGGAGTTGTGTAGTTTGGGTGATGTAGCGTGAGGCCTGGGTTGGTGGGTGTTCCCGGGGGAGGGGGCGGCGGGGGAGGGGCGGACTGGCCTGTGTGGTCCTGGCGGCTGGTCTGGGGAAACCCCTTTTCTTAAGCCACCCCCTCTCGAGGGTTATGTGGAGTGCCTCAGGTTGTCTAAACTCCTCTCCAGAGCAAACACGGTCTGAGCCAGCAAAGGCGATTTGGAGAATGCGTTGAAGGATGGAAAGAAAAAAGTAGGGACCAAGAAATAAAAAAAGGGACCGGAGTGAAGGAAGGTGGGGGCGGGCAGGAGGAGGAGGGGAAAGAGAATGTGGGGGTGGGAGGGGGCGGGCAGAGGGTGGGTAAGGAAGGGAAGGGCGACAAGTGAAAAGACCTCATTTGCTGACAGCCTCACTTGTCATATATGAACTGCTATGGGACTAATGAGAGTTACCTGGTCTCTCTCGCAACTTCTCGTGTCCGAATGACGAGAAATGAAAACGTGTAACCGCAGGAGCAAAAGGCAAAGGATGGCAACCCGAGGCTGTTTGTGTCTGTGAGGGTGGCTCACGGTTCGGAACACAGTAAATTCTTCGGTTGGCAGATTTACCTACCTCCCGTGAGTGGCGTTGTAATAATGTCCTGATACGGCGTTCATTGTGGAACGATTACATCAAGTGGATTAACGCAACTGTACTCGTTTCTTTTTAATGGGGAAACATTTACAAACCTACTCCACGAGTTAAGGCAGACGCAATGCCCTGGTACAGATAAGTGACTAGATGAAATAGTCACCATCTTCCACAATTAGCATCTTAGTTATGAAGTCATTTTGTCTTTTCAAGTAATTTAGGGGTTTCCTTTCCTGAGCATCAAGTGAACTAGTAAAATCAAAAAAGGCTCTAAGTTCGGGTTGGGGGAGATTGAAAGGGTGTAGATGTACATGTTGGTATGGAAATGTTTTAGTTGATTATTACCGCACGAAGGGATTTGTCATATGATTGTTGTCTGGCTAATGGTATAATCTTCAAGCTCCATACTTGATAGACAAGATTGGTTGGTATGTAAGATCTGGCTATTGTAAATTGCTGCCAAATAAGTACCCATATCTTTAAAAAAAAATCCAAATAAAAGCAGAACCAGCCTCCTTATATGCTATTTTTTCAGGGTTTCTTCTTCTTCTTCTTCTTCTTCTTCTTCTTCTTCTTCTTCTTCTTCCCTTTTTCAGTGTAAGCAAAAATCAGCATATCAGTGACAAAAACCCAGGGAAGACCATGGAGCACCTTGCTTGACTTTGCAGTTTTGTATTTTGCTTTATAAATAGAAACCAGTTTTCCAGAGGTTCTGGAGCTTTGGAAGCCTGAGCTCAAGGAGTCCCAGAGGCTGTGTTTGCTGTGGATCTGCTCCCTGGGCCTCAGTGGTTTTGTCTCTGTGTCCTCTAAGTGGAAGAAGAGTGCTTTATTTATTCTTCTCTTTTGAAAGAGTGCTTTAGGCTTCAGTTTCAATGGAGATGAAACTTAGACTTTAAGTGCAAAGCACTATAAACACACAACTTCATTTTTGCACGCAGTATTCCCATGTAAGACAGATATGAATGTTTTTAAAACTTTCTCTTTTTTTCTGAAAAAGAACCACCAATCATGCCATCTGGACAGAAATTCTGTTATTTATTTTTATACATCGATGGTAATTAAAGTTCCCCAAGTAATAGTTCCAAAAATATTTCTCAGTAAGCTTCCAGAATATATATATCTCAACATCATTAAAGCAGGCTATAAAGGCTTATTACGCTGAATATTCTCACTCCTTCTGCCACTTTTGTAGCATAGAAAAATTCTCAACAATAACAAAAAATAACATTTTCTTCTTGAGCTGCAGTCCTTCCCATCTTGAACTGCTAGTGGGCATGTGCAATGATGTTTTTGGCCAAGGAACATTCAGACTGCCATGTGGAAGCCACAGAGTGTCAGAGTTGCTAGCTGTGAAGCCTTGCCAGCCTCTCATAGTTTTATACAAAGGATGCTGAGAGCAACTGTTCTTTTTTTCTTCTTCTTTTTCATCATATGATCAGTTATTTTATTCTTGGGAACTAGTCAAAAGGAGCACACAAAAACAAAAGGAGAGAAGAATGGCCCTTTGTTTACAGAAAGAATTTTAAGAAGAACACTTGAACAAATTGAAATGGTAAGAAGTTAACTCGTCGCCTGCTTTGGGAATTAACTTGTTGGCTGCATGGAAAGGCTAACAGGATGGAGAATGGCCAGGAGAAGCCAGTTCAGAGTGGATTGCCTCCATTGTAGCATTCTATCGATAAATTTGACATAAATTTGAAGATAATCACAAAAAGAAAAGGAAGAGTTCTTTTTCAATATGCATTACTGAGATCATGAAGTTCATGAGTATATTTTTTAAAAAGTCAGACGGGATGCTGTATTTTCCATCTATCATGATTTAAAAATCATGTAGAGGATATTTTGTACATTCCATCTAGAAACTACAGTCTTTTACCAGTCATTGTTTTTGGAAACTACACTCACTATTGTATGTGTTTGGTAGGGGTGTGTGTGTGTGTGTGTGTGTGTGTGTATGTGTGTATGTCTTAAATTTGAAATACTTTCTGGCAATACCTTTATAAGGTACAAATTCTAGTTTTCTCTTTTTCATATTTTGAGAATGCCATAGTGATATTGAAGGAAGAATCCATACCACAACTTGCTTTTGCAGTCTATAGAATGAATGGAATAGTCTGGAAGCCTAATGCAGTTTATTTTGTGAGATGTAGCTAACTTTGGACACAGTCTAATCTAGTGGTTACATTTGCTAATGCTGGGACCCTTTAACACAGTTCCTCATGCTAAGGTGATCGCAAACCATAAAATTCTTCCGTTGCTACTTCATAACTGCAATTGTGCTACTGGTATGAATCATAACGTAAATATCTGATATGCAGGATATCTGATATGTGACCCATGGGAAATGGTTGTTCAGCCTCCCAAGGGGTCATGACCCACAGCTTGAGAACTGCGATCTAACATTTCTGGCAGTTAAATATGGTACACATCTCTGGATACAGGGCACTAGGACAGGTTATATTAAAATTTAGAAATGCTTCTACACTTTAAAAAATACATTGAAAATGGGTATGTGTCATCAGGACATTCAGCCCAACTTGAGGTCTTTGGAGTCACCGTTCTGGAAACTCACTCTGCGTGTCCCCTTCTCCATAGACCTGTTTGTGTTCCTTTTCTCGGTTGCATAGGAACTTCTAATATGGAGGGCTTGGAGGCAAGTTGTTGGTTATTGCCATCTTACTGTCCATCTTAGGTAGCATGGGTCACAAAAAGTTTTATCTATAAAGCGAGAAACTGATAGGGCTCAGTTCACCCTGGCAAGCAGTCACCAAATGCATTTGCTGAACACAGGCCAAGGATTCCTAGAACATGTGCCACTTTCTGGTTCATATTTGTACCTAGTTTAGTCATACACTTCCTTTTGAGTCACTCTTCATTTTCTTCATTCTCAAATCCTTGCTGGAAGCTTGGCCGGAAGGCCATCGCCCTTCTCTCTTCACAGGAACAAGGGCATGAGTTAGTTTTCGGAGGTTAACACAAGATAAATAAATGTGAGTACAGCTCGCTCTGATTATATAGCTATGGAAGATAAACCCACTTCTCTTTCATTCTTTTTGTCTCATTCTGACCTTCTTCAAAGTAACGATGATGTTAAGTATTACTCTAAGATCTTCAGTTCTGTTTGTTATGATTTAGTTTATATATGTTTATTATTTTTGAGGTTATAATTTAGTTTTAACATTTCGCCCTTCCCTTTCCTCTCTCTAAACTCTCTCATATAGCCCCTTTTACTTTCCTTCAAATTCATGGTCTCCTTTTTCACTAATTGCTTTTCATGCACATATATATATATATATATATATATATATATATATATATATATAT